TACCTTCCTCTTAGGGCTGTGTGAACTTACTACAAGTTTAAGGATAAGGACAAGAGGTATAGTCAAAAATAATCAAGCATACAGGGACATAAAAACAGCAAAGGGTATCCTGAATAGCAACACTGGATTCAGTTGTAGGAATTATCCAATAAACAATACAAATCCAAATATGTATGCTCACTAAGTTTAAAGAAGTAAAGAATAGGGTCTCATTAAGCAGCTCAGGTTGGCTTAGAACTTGTGATCCTCTTGCCTCTGCCTTTTGAGTGCTGGTATTACAGGCATGCACCATTTACCTGGCATTGTCTACATTCTTAAACATGACTAGACAAGAGAGGATTATGATACTCTTAAGGAAAATCTTTAATATAAAAGATACAGGTAAAAACACACAGAATCAGGGCTGGGGGCATGGCTCAAGTGTAGAGTGCTTGCCTAGCAAGTCCAAGGCCCTGCCGCAGTCCACCACCACAAAAATAAAACAAAACAAAATCCAGAAACTACGCAATACAGAGGAAACAGATACAAGGCAAAGAGGAGTATGAAGCTCAGTGGGAGAGTGCTTGCTTAGCACGTGTGAAGCCCTAGTTTCAAACCCCCTACTCCCCAAATAAAATACAAATGATGACTTACATTCTAAAGAGAGGAGATATTTCAACTATTATAAATGAAAACAAGAGGGCTTGAAGCATGGTTGAAGTGGCACAGTGCCTGACTATAAAAATGAGGCCCTGAGTTCCAACTCCAGTATTGCAAAAAAAGAAAAATCCCCACAAGATAATTATATGTGTATATACATATACTTATGTGTTATATATATACACATACATTTAATTCTATTTGTCTATATGAAAGGAAATCTAGAAAGTAAAAAAAACTTTAAAAGTTCTTCCAAATGGAAGAGAAAAAAAAATGGAGGGGAGAAGATCAATGGAGTAACTCAAGAAAATGGGGAGCGTTTCCATACCAAAAGGATCACCAAGTATGTGACAGTTCAAAGTAAACCCAGATCAGGGCACACCATGAAGAGACTGGAAACCACTAGGGACAAAGAGAAAATGCTCTAAGCTTCCAGAGATTGAAAGCGGGTCAAGTGAAAAGGATACAGAATTGGAAAGTGGTGGATATAGCTCAGTGGTAGGCTGCTTGCCTAGCATGTACAAGACCTGGGGTTCGATCCCCAGCACTACAAGGAAATGAACAACAGAATTGGAATTCGTCACAGTGAAGAAATATTGCAAACTAGAAAGCAATGGAGCAATGGTATCCAAATTTAGACAGGAAATAATTTCTAACCTACACCAAAGCTATGGTTTAAGTATGAGGGTGGTGTGAGGGTGAATTGCAAATATTTGCAGAAGTGCATGACCTCAATGTTTTACTTCACATTTTCCTTCTTAGGAACATGCAGATAGTTAGTACAGGAGATGGTGTCCCAAAATAAGACAGTGGAGCCTCTAAAAGAGAAAGACACAGGATACAGGAGTAGGGAATCAAAAACAGAAACAAAGAACTGCCAAAATAAAGAAGAGGACTCTGGCTGAAAGCCTGCAGTGTGTGCAGAGGGGACCAGTAATGCAGAGACTCTGGAAGACATTCATTATGGCAACAAAACTGAGATGCTAGCTGAGTCATCTGAACAACCTGAAGCAGATGCAGACAATCAGCGAGAACAGAACTTAATTAGTGATAAGTTCAGAAAAAACAAGATGGACAATTATTTGTCCCAGAAAAAGGTAAAAAGTTGCATAGGAAAGGAAATGTAATCATAGTTTACTATGTGCTGAATGGTTAAAAGCATTCTACAAGCTGGGTGTGCCTACAGTCTCACTTACTCAGGAGGTTGAAGGAGGAGGAAGGCTTGAGCCCAGGAATTTGAGAATTTGAACCAGCCTATGTAACACAGCAAAAATCCATCTCAAAACAAAAAAACCATTTGAGTCAAAATAATACAAGCACTTGGGAAACTGAGGCAAGATGATTGTGAATTCAAGGTCAGGTGGCTGCACAGTAAATTCTGTAACAGGCTGGACTACATAGTGAGACCCTGTCTCAAAACAAACAAAAAACAAAAACAACAGCACTAATTATTTAGCTAATCAAGATTATGTGAATAAAATTAAGTGCTAATTAAATCATCAATTGTATGGCTAAAAGAATGCAAAGGGTAGAAATGTGAGCTGGAGATAGGAAGAGGAAAAATCAATACATAATCTCTAAAACTGAAGAACCAGGAACTATAATACAAGCATGTTACTCAGAAAAGTAATAGTTAAATACTAAAAGAATTAGCTAAAAAAAGATGTTAATGGTGGCCTCTGGAAAGGGGCAAATGGGAATAAGAGAGATGACTGCGGTTTTTACCCACAAACTTGAAGGTACTTTCTGGCTTAATAGTTCTCATCCCTCACACCACAAGCAAACGAGTCTTAAAAATACTGACAGAGCTAGGTGCCGGTGGCTCATGCCTGTAATCCTAGCTACTCAGGAGGTGATCAGGAAGATCGAGGTTCGAAACCAGCCCAGGCAAGTAATTTGCAAGTCCCTATCTCAAAAACACTCAAAACAAAAAAGGTCTGGTGGAGTGGCTCAAGTGGTAGAGCATTGGCCTTGTAAGTATGAGGCCCTGAGTTGAAATCCCAGTATTGCCCCTCTCCCCAAATACTGATAGCTGAGACCACCCCAGGTCAGGTGACTCAGAATCACAAGGGGTGTTGCTTGGGTGTTACCCAAGAGGTTTTGAAAAGGTCTCTCAATGTTTCTTCTGCACAGAAAAGAATTGAAACTACAATTTTAACTATATGCATGAGTTACCTCCATAAAAAAATTAAAAGAAATACACATGAACCATTTGGTTTAAACAAAGAAACATTGAGAAAACATACATGCCCACAAAACCTTCATATATACATGAAACGTACAATGAAATAGGTGCTCTAGAGATAACAGATCGGTCATCTGGCCCGCCTTGTTCATTAAAACCTTTCAAAGTGGTAGCTTTAAGCTTTACACATGCTTCTTGTGGGACAGTAAGTATTAGATACTTTCATGTGCGACCTCAGAGAACTGCAGTCATGAACTGGATACAATAATTAATGGTAACTTTAAAAAAGGGCCAGCTAAATTGATCTGTAACATAGTCTGATTTGCCAACTGCACATGGACTCCATATTTCATTTCTCAAACACAGTATTTAATTCCTTACAGGAAGGAAACTACATGGATGTTCAAGAGGAAACTATCACACACACACACACAAAAATCCAAAAAGCAAAAACAAACCACTCTATTATCCTACAGTTCTCCTGGGCATCAGTATATCGAAATCTAGAATTACAATATGATACATAAATAATACTGGGTGCCAGGGGCTCATGCCTGTAATGCTAGCTACTCAGGAGGCAGAGATCAGGAGGATCATGGTTTAAAGCCAGCCTGGGCAAATACTTCACAAGACCCTAGATGGAAAATACCTAAAACAAAAAGGGTTGGTGGAGTGGCTCAAGGTGAAGGCCCTGCATTCAAGCCCCAGTACAAGAATAAATAAATAAATAAATAAACAAATAAATAAATATTTAGTTATGCACAATACCATTCAAAAAACAGTCAGTATCCAATAGTCAGTCTATATTTAAACAATGCTGTGGAAATAGCAGGCACGTACAATATATAACACTCATGGTTATAAAAAGTGGTATCAATAATATCTGATCAAATTGAGAGATAGTAATAGATTTATTCTAAATGTTTATAGTACACGAATGTTAGATAATACGCTTGACCTGGTGTATCAACATATTCTATCACATTATTCAACTCTAACAACTGATGCCTCTTCATTGACAATAACAGAATGCATTGTGGGAATTCTGTGAAGATATACTGCTTTCAAAATTTAAATGGAGGCGCCAATAAACCTTTTCCTTCAGCATCTTCCTACCCTCTACAACCTCCCACAACTACACACACAATTTAAGAACGTATACAGCTAACTTTCCTAAAAATAAAACAAATAAAACAAAAAACATTAAAGTTAAAATGGATAGTAGGAAATATGCTAAAAAATGTGGAGTGGGTAAATGCTCTTGGAACTCAGGGTTTGATTTAAAAATGAACTAAATATAAAAACGAAATGGAAAACATGTATGTGGAGGTCAGCCCTCCCACATTTCCACTCCTGAAGTAAGCTGAGCAATGTTTGCTTCTCTATCTTCTCTGACCATGTAACACCCACAATAGAAGCAGCTTCAAGTGGCAGATCTGAGCACCCAGCACATGCCTGAACACATTTTTCACTAATGAAAGAAAGATGTCAACACAATATAAAGGTCTCTAAAGATTGTATTTTCATTTTCATATAAATTACTCTAATTTGAATTCTAACAACCAATTTTAACATATTTAATTCCTGTCATTCCTTTAAGGAATCACTGAAAAGTATCACTTCAATAGCAAAATATTAAAAACAAGATGTAAGAGTTAGATCTTTATCACTTATTTCAACATTCAGGGTCATCTATTTTTCCCTGATTGTCAAATTTTTGTTTAAGTAAGTGCATACAAAACAATATGTTAATGTTCAAATACTATCACTGTGTAACAGATAAACATTTCACTTAAACTATAGCAGCTCAGTGTGCAGAAAGGGAAAATGTTTAAAAACAAGAAAATAAAATTCACCATATACCTCTACCTCTATAAAAGAAAACTGTTCTGGGTTATAAAACAAAAATAAACCTCCCACAAGAGATCTTGGAAATCTTGAATTTTTTTCCTGTAGGAGGATTTATTATTTCCCACTGATTGTCCATTTGTGCGTTTTCTTCTTGTTTCTATTCATAGCATCAGATCCTGACTCGCATGCACAACCTCAAAAGAAAAGAAACACTAAATACAAATTGTGTAAAATTAAGTAAAATGAAGCAAAATAAAAAGGCACACAATGAGAGTGGGAACTGTTGGGATGGTGCCAGCGTGTGCACTGCTCATGTGGAACTTACCTTGTAGGCGACACTGTTGGATGAGTCCACAATGACAAACAGGGGCTTCCTTGTGAAAGGATAGAGGTCTCCTGGGTGAAGGCTGGGGAAACAACAACAACAGTAAGAGCTGTATGCCCGCCAAGTCTCAGAGTCCTATTCTGCAGTTTGGTCTGCTCACTGCTCCTTTCCATCACAGCACTGAGAGAAAAACAAAGATTAATATTAACAAAATGACAAAACAAAAAAAAAAAAGGCTGGATTTACCAGGACAGTCAAGTTGGTTTATCTGAAAATAAAGTTTGGAGATAATTATTAAAGAATAATAAGCTAGCTGGGAGCAGTGGTGGGTGCCTATAGTCCCACCACTCAGAAGGATGAGACAGGAGAAGTACTTGAGTTCAGGAGCTCAAGACCAGCCTGGGAAACATAGAGAGAGTGTGTCTCCAAGAAGATAATCTAAGCTAAAGAGAAGCCTGTGCTTAAACCTCAGAGGTCGGCATACAGATACATGCTTCTTGGAACTCAGTATGTAAACCATGCTTTGAAAAATAAGATGTAATAATATAATATCAGCATTTCAACAAGTCTTCAAAATATAAGTGTATTTTAACATTTTTTTTTTAGTTTTGAAGCTACATCTTAATATTGCAGTAGGGAGAGAAATCTGTTTTACTGTCCTTTATGTTTCTTCTAAATGTGTCATCAAAATCACGGGGCTGCAGGTTAAACACTCAGATTCACTGGCTCACACAGGTCAACTGGCAGTGCAGGACCATGCACTCGAGAGCCACTGCTGCAGAAGTTGACATCTTTGGTATGCATACTTCCTCCCATGTCGTGGTGGATAGCACGCACAAGTGTACATGTCAATGTACATGTACATATAAAATGATGTACGGGACAATTATCATCAAACTTTAATATGGCTCACATATAAGCTTTTCTTTTTATTGACAAAACTGTATATATTCAAAGAGTACCATGCTAATTTGGCATACATATACACTGAATAGTAATGACCATGATGAAATTAATCAACATCCATCCCTGCAAGTGGTTACACTTTATGTGTTTTACAAATTTCAAGTAAGCAACACAATATTATTAACTATCATCACCATGCTGTACTTTACAACCACAGAAGATATTCACCTTATAACTGCAAGTCTGTATATTTTGACCAACTCTGCCCCATTTTCTCCAATCCTCAGCCCCTGGCAACAACCTTTCCTCTGTTTCTATGAGTATAACTTTTAAAAATTTTATACAAAAGTGAAAGCATGCTGCATGCATTTCTGTGTCTCATTTCACTTAATGTCCTCCATGTTCACACATGATTTCACAAATGGCAGGATTTCTTTCCTTTTTCATGGCTGAGTAATATTTGAATGTGTGTGCAGACCATGCCGAACATGGGTTGTTTCCATGCCCTGGCTATTGTGAGCAATGCTATAATAAATATAAGAATGTAGATATCACTTTGACATACATCACTTAGTGACATAATTTTATTTCCTTTGCAAAGGAGGTTTATGGTAGTTACTTTTAGAGATAGCATCTTCTTTGTAGGCCCTGGCTGGCCTCAAACTCTTTAATTTCTTGGCTCTGCCTCCCAAGTGTGAGGATAAACATGTGTGCCACCACCTGGCTTATATCTAATTTTTTGAGGAACCTCTATACCATTTTCCATGATGAATATACCAACTTACATTCTTACCAACCCTCCAGAAGGGCTCTCTGTTCTTCACATCCTCACTAACACTTGTTATCTCTTATCTTTTGATAATAGTTCTCCCAACAGATAATAAGTGATAACTCATTACGGTTTTAGTTATTACTTCCCTGATGATTAGTGCTGTTGAATACATTTCATGTATCTGTTAAGTTTTGCTAAAATAAATAATTTAAAACTAAGATCAACAACAGTACCAACATGTGGCTTAGGGGGACCTTTAGCCACTGAACATATCATCTGACACACCTACCAACTGGGTCTCCTTCCCTGATTCTTTAATATGAACAGTTGAAATTTTAATGTAAAATGTTATTAAAAATGGAGTTTCAGACAAGTCCTTTTTTTTTTTATAACCAAACTTCTCTGAGCTAATGAAATTCTAGAGACAATAATGGCCCAAAGAGTGAAGGTACCAATCTAAGAAAAAAAGCAAAATTTTTTTTTATCTACTAATAATGCATAGATGAAATTCTATTGGAAATCATTTGTAATAAAATTCATTTAAATTAAATGAATTTAAATTCATTTGTAATATATCAAACCAACAGAACCTTACATTAAAAACTTTGTATTGGGTGAGGATGTAGGTCAGTGGTAGAGCACTTGCTTAGAATATGCAAGGCCTTCGGTTTGATCTCCAGCACTGCTAAATAAATAAATAAAATAATAAAGCTCGTATTGGACTGGGGTATAGATGAAGTGAAACAGTTCTGTCTCTAGTGACATATGTATTGTGACATGATACATCACTTATGTATATACTTACTATCTCTTCCCACTAGAATGCAATTTTGCTCACTCTTATATTCCCGATGATTGCACATGCTTGACATATGATATTCAATAAGATATTTGTTCCATCAACGTCAGTCAAGGTTTTAGTTTCCTATGATGATGAAAGACTGAAACACTGCTGGAATCCAAGTAAGTGTTACTAACAGTCGTCAAAGAGAGCCTTTCTAGTAGTAGAAAAAAGTTCCCAGTTCACTTAATATTTTAAAGTGGGAGCTATAGTCCTTATAGTAGGGGAGGCACTAGAATACGTACCAGTGCATTTCTTTGTGGGACTGATTTCGCTTGTGGATGGCATCTCCATTTATAACATCCCGGTTACTATTAGTAAGCACACCTCCAAAGTCATAGGGACCTATAAAAATGAAAGGAAGAGTCCTAGAATTCAACTGGAGGGTAACACTGATCAAAAGTTCAGAGGCAAAAGTGTTACACGAATCTCTCATTGAAACGAGTGGAAGATAATTACAAAGCATTTAAATTATTTTAAAATCTAACATTTTAATTTAATGCACTATTTAAATGATTTCAGCATGCTGCCAGTTTCACCATTAAAAAAATCATTTAATTATTCATCAGTTCTTCAAACAGATTATAATGAGAAACGAAACAAGTATCTATTGCATTCTACTAATCTGGGTTGAAAAAGGAATGGAGACTGGGATATTCAAAATGACTTTTACATTGTAAGCAAAATTTTAATTTTTGGCTTAACAGAATTATTTAAAAAAGAAAATCACAGGCAGAAATCTTATACACATATGTTCTGAGACAGAGTCCCACGATATTGCAGACTGGTCGTGAACTTTTGGGCTCAAGTGATCCTTCTGCCTTAATCTCCCAAGAACTATAGGGACTACAGGCACACACTATTATTCTTGGCTCCATATATATAATTTAAAATGAACTACTAATTGTAAAATTTAGAGAAAAATTTGAATTGAATTTGAAAATTTTCATTGACAAAAATTCCCTTTTAAAGAAATGGATTGCTAAATTTCAGTGAAAAATCCATTGTTATCACTATTGTATTAAACACTTTAGTTCTGGTTTTGATGTTAGTTTTTTTCTACTGGTAATGTGAATTAACCAGCTCTAGTCTAAGTAGAACAACAATGTCCACCTGTTCAGATAATCTCTCTTAAAGGACCATTTAGTTATAATTTATTGTAATTTGAAAAAGTAAATAAGAAGTCACTATGTTAAACGGGGCCCTAGAAAACCTGATTTTATAGCACATTTATAAGACTCAGAAATAATTGTTTCTAAATAAAATTACTAACTTTAAAATAAAAAACTAAAGTAGTTTAGATTTTTTTTGTATCACTTCTAACATTAAGTGATGTATTATATCCCTTTAAAATTACTGCAGTGGAGACTACAGAGATTTACTGTTTCATTTTAATATTTTAAGAGAATCTGTAGGTCATGCAAGGCAGATGGCAGGGACATGCATTTTATAAAGGAATGCAAATTTCAACAAACAGATGAAGAGGAAAATGTTAAAAATGTTAGGAAATTCTTTTTCCCCAAAGATTTAATTGCCTTATTTATATCCCAGTTATGCATCTATTCTGACCAATTTCTGGACTCACATATTCTGGATTTTTTTGTTGTTGCTTTTTTTTTTTTTTTCTGAAACAGCATCCCAATATTCCATAGACTGAATCCATAAAAACAAAATGAAAGAAAAAAGGACTGAAAACAAAATAATAACAAGGACTTGAACTTTCACAGTTACAAAAGTACACTGATTTCTACAAAGACTTTCAGCCATAATGTAGCCGCTGACCAGATCCATGAATGCACTAAAAGTCAGAAAAATTTAATGACATGAAGTAAATAGTTAAGCTTGCTTATTCCCTTGTCATTTTCAACATGAAAACATCAAACTTCATATGTTATATGTAATGTTTTAGGCAAATTTGATAGTGAAGCTTGCATTTAATATATGAATTTTCTGATGATTTATCAGCTTCAAGGTCTAGTTCAGTAAATAAAATAGACAGGGGTATCTGCAAGATTGCCACCTACAGAAATAGACCATGTTTTCAATTTGGAAGCTTCTTTAGAAAGCTTGAAATGGTCTGTGGGCTATGGGCCATCATCTTGTAGAAAAGGGAGAGAATTCAAGCCCTGCTCACGATGGGAGCATTCCTTTATTGTACCTTCACTATCAGAACGACCTGTGGGGAAAACACCAGTGGCTGACAGGTAAATCAGAAGCACACTATTGGCAGGCAGCTCCTGAAATTAAAGAAAACCACACATACAAAACAACAAACAGGAAAAACAACACAGTTTTATTTAAAGGTTAGGACATTTTAAAGTTGTGGGGACAACAAAAATGTAACTTAATATGCTGTTATTTCCAAGAGAAGCGTAATTCATGCTGGTTTTGACTTTTGTTATTTCCAAGAGAAGCGTAATTCATGCTGGTTTTGACTTTTTTAACTATTTCCACAGCAAAGGTTTACTATTCATCTATAATGTTTAACTGTTGTCAAAACCTGTGAGGACATTCTTTGCATCACAAACACCACCATTTAAAGAATGTTCTCTGAAAACTGGAAATGGATACGCAAAAAATCTTGACTGTGTAGGGCAGGGGCATGGCTCAATTGGTATAGCGCTTTTTGTTGTGCAAGTGCAAGGGCCTAAATTCAAACCCTATTACTGCCCTGCCCCCTCCAAAAGATCCTGATTATAGGTCTAAAAGGCAAACTACCCTCCATGTCTTTCTCTAGGTGAACTCAGGGAAGAGTTCCCCTATTTCTCATTTTTTCATTTCTTTCTTTTTTGAGACATAGTCTCACTATGTAACCCGGAGCTGGCCTCAAACTAGCACACCTGTGTCAGCCTTTGTGGGATTACAGATATGCAACACCACTCCCAGCCTTCCCATCATTCAATAAGATCAAAATGTTTCATAGAGCTATCTGAATATATAATCTGCTATGTAATCTGCTCTTGTTTATCAGTTCTGTATTGACTGCCAAACTTAAAATAGTTTAATAATAAAAACCTGGAGTGAGAATGACAATTAACCAGTATTCTCATTAATTCAGGGTCAAAAACATTCACTCATCATAAGCAGCTTTCATTTCAAAAATAGCTTCGATTGGGATCTTTATTCTAAAGGCAGTTTTCTATTTCACCCCATTTCTCAACTCAAATATTTGAAGACTGACAGTTTTCTATTTCACCCCATTTCTCAACTCAAATATTTGAAGACTGACTCAGAATCACATTTTCTCCACAGCATAAAAAAGTTCCTGGTCACATACCTTAAAAGATGCTGCTAAGAATGTGTAGAGTTGGCTGAAGGTTGGTTTATAGAGCAGGTATTTGTGGGGGTTTTCTCGTCTGGTAGGCTTGTCAGCTGATTCCTATATTTACACACAGACAACAATACATACAAGCTGTATTTGACAAATTTTCAATGCGCACTTTCCCTATACTCTCAATCAAATCAAGTATCTTCCTTTGTGCTCAGTGGTACTATTTGGGTGTGTTACTCTCTAACATTTTGTTATGAAGATTTTCTAAACACAGAGAGAGTGAGAGAATGGCACAATGATACCCAGATGTCCATCATCCTGTTTCCATAATTAACATTTTTTCTGTTTGCTCCAACACATATTATCTCCATCTATAAGTACCTCTATTTTCCTTAGGTATTTTTTAAAATAAAAAGTAGTTACAAAACATGCTAACTTCTGGTTAGGAGGAAATATGTCTGGACTCATATTTTATAACATCTACAGTATATTTTGGCACTACAGAATATTTAAGGCTGCACCCCTTTTCCATTTTTAGTAATACTTAAATAGAACTTTGGGTAGGCATGAGTTTTTGTTTTTGTTTTTTTTCTGGTGGAACTGGGGTTTGAACTCAGGACTTCATGCTTGCAAAGCAGGTGCTCTACCACTTAAGCCACACATCCAGTCCATTTTCTCTGGTTATGTTGGAGATGGGGTCTCATGAATTATTTGCTTATACTGGCCTAAAACTGGGATCCCAATCTTAGCCTCCCAAAGTACCTAGGATTACAGACATGAGCCATGGGTACCTGGCTGAGAAGTACCCATTTCTGTAAAATAACACAGAAATTCTTTAATTAAGGTGAGAATCTGTTTATGGAGATCATATGCACTGGAGCTTCAGACATTTAACTAAACAAAAGAGATTTGTTGTTGCTGTTGTTGTTGTGTTATGCTAATTTAGGGCCTTAAACATGCTAGGCAAGGGCTCTACCACTGAGCTATACTCCTAACCCCATTTAATATATCTTTAAGTAGACTAAACAAAACTTTAAATCCTCCACAACCAAAAGTCACAGAACAAAATCACAAAGATGGACATTTCTCACCACATTTAATGCCTCAATACACCATTACTTGAGTTTGCTGAAATGTGAAAAAAATGCCCCAAAGCTCACACATTCATCACTCAATATATTTATACAAGAGAATGAAATGACCTTCTAGACCAGGGCAGAGATAACCTGGCTGTCCTTTCACTTTGTTTAAAATGAGGCCTATAGGGCTGGAGGGATGGTTCAAACAGTAGAGTGCCTACCTAGCAAACAAAGCCCTGAGTTAAAACCCAGTACTTCCATAAGTAAATAAATAAAAACAAAACAAGGCCTATAAACGAGTGCCCGTGCTATATGGTACAACTAAATCAGCTTCATAAGCGTTCTAGGGGAGAAACTCCATACACAGAATTATAGATCCCCATTTTAACCTGATATTAGCTTCCCCTCTTAAAACAGTTTGTTTTCCTGTCAAAAGAGCACATGGTACTTATCTGATCCCTCAAGCCAACCATCACTTGAACTTACCTATTCTCTATTCCTCAATATTGAGTCAACTTCCTTCAGTCCTTCAGCTCCTCACTCACTTGCCCTTTATCGCTCCATCTATACATTCTCTTCTACAAATAGGTTTCTCACATCCCAGACTGTGGAATCAGGCTTACCTGAACAAGTATATATATAATATATCTACCTGTACAAGTCAGAAACCTACAAGTCATCTTCAAAATCTACTCTTTCCTTCCTTATGTATCCAACCTGATCTCAAATGCTATTGGCTATACCTTCTCCGTATCTCTTAATACCAATCTCAATGCCCCATTATCACCACTACCCCTGAGTTCAAGCTGTTACTACCACTCACCAAGATTACTATAACAGTTTCCTAACTGCTCTGCCACTGCCCATTCTGGCTCCAACCCATTCTCCTCAACTACAACCAAAAGGATCCTCTTGAAATGCAAGCTTCCCCATATCCCTTGGCTGCATCTTGGCACCAAAGATGCAGACAAACTGCTCAGTGTGCCCCTCAGGCCTTGCTGACACAACCATACCTTTATTTCCAGTGCTTTCCTCTGTTCTCGTCACTCCAGCCAGTATATATCTTTCTGTTAAGTGTCTTCTACTCACCACCCTGCTTCAGCTCCAGATCAGGACACAGGCTCTTCCTGCTGCCTGGACCAATTAACTTTTACTTGACCTTAGTTATTAGCTACAACACTATTCTCAGAAAAACCTCCAATGACCTCCAAACTACCTCAAATCTCTTGATTCCAGATATCAGAATCACATGCTTTTCCTTTTTCACATTTGTAGAAGTGGCTACTTGATATTTGATTAATGTGTGTTTTCACAACTAAACTGTAAGCTCCATAAAAGAATGTACTTTTTAATTTTTTTTTTGTTAATCTCACACATCCCCATGCCTCAGACATGTCTGGTACTCAAGAGTACTGATAGAATGAATGAGTTTTCTGAACTGACTCTCTCATTATGAGTCATTACAAGATTAGCACTATCAAAGTCATTTTCAATAAGGAAACAAAACCACCTCTACAACAACAACAAAAAAAACAAAGCTTCTGCTTACAGTAATAAAATACTACTTTGTGTAATGCAGAAATGAATTTACAAGGGTAAAAGATTTCCTCAGAGGCCAGTACAGAAGAAGAAGAGGTGAGGGAGGTAAGTGAGGACTATTGTTTTTGGCTGTCCTGTAGCAAGGGCAGCATGGGGGCCCTGGAAAGGTGTAGGGAGAACTCCGCCCCCACACATTCCCAAAGAAAGTTGGAAGCACAAAAAGATATGGTGTCAAGAGAGAAGTTGTGCAGCAAATTTGCTCGAGAAAGAAGAAATAGCAATATGCTGGCCTTGGCTACAGGCAGACAAAGAGAAAAGTCTCCCCAAGAATTTATGTCCATGCATTCCTGTGGTTTGCAAACCTGAATTCACACTATTTTCATGGTCAAAAATCTGTAAGTTTTTTTTATTTAAAGAGAACAAAACCTAAGAGTGCCTTCAAATTTTGAGGAAAAGTAAATACAGATTCTCACTGGAAGAATCCAGTCTCAAAAGAATTCTAGCTGACAGAATTACAACAAAGAAGAACCTATAACCAAAACTCATAAAACATATGAAGAAAAAAATAACCTCTGTTCAGTAAGCAAAGATAACAAGTAGCTCAAATGGAACTATGAAAATATCACTTACAACATGTAAAAAAATTTTGTTTTCATATGCTAAATAAAGAAGCAAAATCATGGTGAAGGCTATCAAATAAAAATAATCTAACACTTTAAACATAAAAAATAAAACATGAAGAAAAAATAATAAATGAAATTAAAAACATAAGGGAATGAATATCTGCTTCACATAGCATGAACAGTTAACAAACCAATAACCTAGCTTACAAGAAAAGTGGGAAGGAAATATAAAGCTTTCAGGAAGAAAGCTAAACAGACTGAAGTTGTGGAGAGCAGAGAATGGAAGAAAGGGGAGCTACCATTAAGCGGGTAGCTGACTACTTTTTGTCTCTGGGGATAGCTATCAGTTTTAAGAGGTGAGACTGCGCTTTACCTGGGAAGAGATTGCTTTGTCCTCTGGGGGACAGATGAACCAGTAGTGATCTTTGAGGCCAGAATGAAAACAGAGGCATTAATCACAGGCTGGTTTTCCCCAAAGACATCTATAAAATTCTAAAGCTGCACCACACAGTACACGAAAGAGGTAAGCCAGAAACCTCTAAAAGGAAAAGTGGATCAGCCTAGAGGAGCTGGGAAACCACAATCAGAAAACTGAACCCAACAAGAAGGCAGCCTGGTGACCATTCCAAACTCTCAAATGAAGCACTTGGAAACTAGGACCTAAAGACACAGATGGTAGAGATAAGCTGAGCTTTATCAAAACAGCAACACTGCCCTGAGTTCAGATTTCAACTGAATTCAGGTAATCGGCTCACCGCTTTTCTGCTCAGAAGAAAGGTTAAATCCTTACTATAGAAATCCACCTGGAATCTACTATTTTTATGCACATTACTAGAATTTCAATCGTAAATTAGCAAGCAAGCAAACAATCAACACAATGTTTTAAGAAAGTGAAAAAGAAGAACAGAGCCACATGTGATCTAGACAGTATAGTCAGCAGAAAAGGACTTTAAAATACCTGGCAAACAGAAAGAGGTGGCAAGACATAAATGAAAAGAAATAGAAGCCTGCCAAAGAATTAACATCTACAAAAAGAGGATTACTGGTAGCTCACGCTTGTAATCCTAACTACACAAGAGGCTCAGATTTGGAGGATCTTGGTTTGAGACTAACACAGGCATATAGTTGGAAAGACTCCGTTTCTAAAATAACCAGAGCAAAATAGGCTGGAGGTGGGACTCAAGTGGTAGAGTGCCTGTTTTGTGAGCTTAAAGCCTCAAAGCTTTAAGGAACCCCAGTCTCACCAAAAAATAAATGAATAAAAATAAATAAATAAAAAGTGGGAGTTGGATATGGGAGAATTTGGTCCAAGGCTGGCCCTGGGCATAAAGTACAAGTCCTATCTGAAAAATAAAATATACCAAAAGGGCTGGAGGCCCAGCTCAAGTGCTAGAGTGCCTGCCAAGCACACAGGAGGCCCTAGGTTTAAATTCCACTACTGTCAAAAAAAAAAAAAAAGATTCATCTGTTTTTATATTACTCGATAACCCATTCTATTTTTTACAAGATTACTATTCCATTGCATGGATGTCACAATATGTGAAATTTTAGATTTAGAGAAAAATTAGGAGCAGACTGGATACCTAAGACACAATTAGTGAAAAGGAAAAGAAGTTCAAAGAAAACATTCTATCTGAAATCTAAAGAGGAAAAACTGATGGAAAATACAAAAGAAGTGTAGAAGATAGTGACACTGTAAAAGTGAACATGTCACTGGAGTACTAGAAGAATGAAAGGAGAAAAAAGTAATAAAAGGAGAAACAATATTCAGAGATTCAATGAGCATATTTCAAAATAGGTGAAAGAGATCAGCCTACAAACTTAAGAAACTGAATCTCAAGCAGGATAAAACAAATAATAAAAGTCAACTCCATCTGAATATACCACAGTAAAAGGACTACAGAGGAAAAAATCATTTCCTTAAACAGACTGTGACAAATCTATTAGATGATTTCTCAACAAAATTGAGAGAAAAGATAATGGAATTAAGTCTATAAACTGTCAAAGAAAAAAAAGTATCAAACTCGAGTTTTATACTCACAAATGATAGGAAACTAAAGGTATTTTAGGACAAAATCCAAAATACAAGAATAAGTTACAAGCAAGAGAAAGAACTCAAATGAGGGTAGATACAAATGAATACCAAATGTACAAAGCAATTATGATTAATTTCTTGTATGAAATATAGAGCATGAAAATGGAAACCAAAAATAATGTAAACAGCAGGAAGGAAATATATGAATAGGGTTGAACATGGAAAACATCTAATGAAAATTTACTAAAACCTGCCAAGAAACAGGAAACTAACTAACCAACAAGGAAAACAATCAGTCAATAGATACAGACCCACATGATTGAAAAATCATAGGTAACTAGAAGGCATGGTTGTATTTGCTGGCACTGGGGTTTGAACTCACGGCCTCATACTTGCTAAGCAGGTGCTCTACCACTTGAGCCATTCCACCAGTTCTTTTTTTGTGTTGGGTGTTTTTGAGATAGGGTCTCTCAAACTATTTTCCCAGGTTGGCCTCAAACCACGATCCTTTTGATCTCTGTCTCCTAAATAACTAGGATTACAGGTGTGAGCCAACAGTATCCAGCTGGAAACAGCTATTTTAATGATGAACAATTTAAAATAAAACTTAAAAAAGTTCAGTGATCTAAGGAATAATATCGAAAAAGTATAACTCACATTGAACTGGAGTCTGAGAATTAGGTAAGAGAAGGTGTGACAGAAACAATAGTTGAGAAAATAATGCCTAAAAAACTTTCAAGCTTGAGGAAACTCACAAGCACATATATTCAAGAGTCAACAAATCCAAGAAGGATAAACTCTCCCCTTACCCTTACTCATAATAACCACAATGCTAAAAGCAGTGTTAAAGAGGAAATCTCAACAGCAGCCAAAGAAAAAAGAATGTTACATTTATAGAAACCAAGGGAAGATTTTCCACAGAGTGCTTGTCAGAAATTATGCAAGCAAGAAAACAATGGGAAAAATATTTTACATGGTAAAAGGAAAAAAACTAGTTGACCTAGAATTTAATATCCAGTGAAAATAGCTTTCAAAAATAAAAATGAAGCTTAACTCCCCTCCCCTTTTTGTTACAACAAAAACAGTGGTTCATGCCTGTAAATCCTACAAAGCCATGATTTCAAACCTTAGTCCCAAAAAGGATGGACGGGGTGGGGTGGGGGGGGATGACCCAAGTAAATTCATTACCAGGACATGAGCATACCTGTAATATAAGAAATATGAAAAGACAGGCACTGTTGGCTCCTGTCTGTAATCCTAGCTACTTGGAAGGCAGAGATTAGGATTCAAAGCCAGCCTGGGTAAATCACTTGAGAGGCCCTATCTTGAAAATACCCAACACAAAAACGGGCAGGCATACTGGCTCAAGTGTTAGAGCCTAGCAAAGGTGAGTTTAAACTCCAGGACTGTCAGGAAAAAGAAAAAAGTTAAACTAATCAGATGGGAACTTAGGACTGGAGGAGTGGTTATGGTTCAGGTGGTAGAGTGACTACCAAGCAAGCACAAGGCCCTGAGTTCAAGTCCCAGTACTACTAAAACAAAATGACAACAAAAACAGATGAAAAGTCAATCCTAAACCAAAAAATGAGGAGTGCTAGAAATGGCAAATACATTGTAAATCTTAAAATAAATTTAAATTTTATTGTAAATACTTAATTTTTTCTCATTTTCAAATTTTTTCAAAACTTGTCATACCATAAAAAATAAGAATGTACTAAGCTTTATAATATATGGAGAATAAAAAGTATGTCAACAGTAACAAAAAGTATGGGAATATGCAAAGATACTTTTTGTAAGAGTCAAAAAAGAAGTCACAGGAAATTAAAAAATAATTTGAACTGAAAGAAAACAGTATCAGTATCTGTGGAAGACGTTCAAGCAATGTGTAAAAGAAATTGTATAGCTTAGAAACTATGTTAGAAGAGAAAAAAGTCTTAAGATTGCTAATCTCTATGGTCTCAGCATCTATCACGAGAGAGTAGAAGAAAAGCACAAAGGACATTTCAAATAGGACAAAGGAAACAAAACTAAGCAAAAGTCAACAGAAGTGAAAAGAAAGGTTAGAGAAAACCAACATTTCATTTATTGCAAGATATTCAGACATATTAGAATGCTGTGATAATAAAGTCAACATATTGTACATATTTATGATAAAAATGACCACAGTGTGGGGGGAAAACATGGTCTACTTAAAAAATGGTGCTAGGTCTACTGAAATCAACATGAAAATTTTGACCCATACACCATACCAAATCAAAAACAAATTCTAGATAGACCATAGATCTAAATGTGAAAGGTAAAGTAGTAAATATTTTAGAAAAAAAGAAAAAAAGTGAGATTATCTTCATTACCATAGGGCTGGAGAAGATTTCTCAAAATGGGACTAAAAACCAGCTCTTAGTAGAAAGGGAAAAAGTTTCTAAACTGGACTACATTAAATTAAACTTCTGCTGGGTGCCGGTGGCTCACACCTGTAATTCTAGCTACTCAGGAGGCAAAGATCAGGAGGATTGTGGTTTGAAGCCAGCCTGGGCAAAGAGTTTGCGAGACTCTATCTCAAAAAAAAAAAAAAAAATCACAAAAAAAGGGCTGGTGGGGTGGTTCAAGGTGTAGGCCCCGAGTTCAGTATCTAAATAAATAAATAACTAAACTTCTATTCACTAGAATCCCAATACCTGGAATAGGGTCTGGCATAGAGTAGGCACTCAATAAATGTATTAAATAATGCATACAAAAGAGAAAAGGGCTGAAGGCTTGGCTTAAGCAGTAGAGTAACTGCCTAACAAACTCTGAAGCCCTGAGTTCAAACCCCACCAAAACAGAGAAGAGACAGCAGAAGGGAATGGAAGGTAAGTCACAGAGTATAAGATATTTTTATGCAGACTATCTGAGGAACTCCTGCAAATCAATAATACTGGAGTTGCTTGGTCATAGAGTGTGCATATACATAGCTGTGCACAGATAATGTCTAATACTTTTCTACCGTGGATGTACCACTCTACACTTTTACCAACAAAGTACGAGATATCCAGCTTTTTATAAGTTTGCTGGGCATAGTATTTTCAGTTTGTCTGTTTTATATACATATACACATACATGTTTTGAGCAGTAGTGAGGATTGAACTCAGGGCCTTGTGCTTGCTAGGCAGGTGCTCTACTGCTTAAACCACTCTGCCAAACCAGTTTGTGTGTTTTGTTTTAGCCAACTGAGTGGGGGATATTCTTAGTAGAGGGCTTGCCATGAAACCCAGGCTGGCCTTGAGCTTTTGATCCTCCTGACTCCACTACCTAAGTGCTAGGATAACAGTCTTTTACCACCTTTTCTAGCCTCCTCATTAGGTTTTAATTTAGATTTTGATTAGTGAAAATTTTTTGCATGAAAGAAAATAGAAAAATTTTGAGCAGATAGTACAACAAAACATAAATATTTCAAAATGTGTCCAGTTAGTGTCCACATCGAATTTTAATATGTTTTAGCTCATAAATTTGAAAAATGGCTATGTAAAGCAAAAATGGAAGAGTACTAAAAAAATTTAGTAACAAAAATGATAGGTGCTAGAGTCAGATCCAAAATTAAAACTTGTTAGTAACACATATAGAAAAATTGATGACTTTTCTAATATCCAATAGATTTCAGTAAATTACATTTGTTTTGTTTTGGGTTTTTTGACAGCACTGGAGTTTAAATTCAGAGCCGCAGGCTTGCTAGGCAGGCTCTCTATCACTTGAGCCACTCCATCAGCCTTACATTTCTAGCACATTAAACCTTCATCATCACGGGACTGTTTTGTCATAAAAAAAAATTTGAAATTTACTATAGACAGATATATTTAAAAAAAAAAAACTTGGACTGGCAGAGTGGCTAGCAAGCCATGAGGCCCTGAGTTCAAAAAACAAAAAAGGGACTTTTATCACTATTTTAAAAAGAAAAAGAAACAAAGCAACAACAAGAAAAATCCCAAAATCATCTCTTCCTTTTTTGGCTGATTGGTAGAGTATTATTTAAACGTTTTGGAAAGTTTAGAAAGTTGCCAAGAATAAAGTAAAAATCACTTATAATGCTGCTATTTCGAAATAAAGCTTCTAGACATTGGTAAACTTCCTGCACAATATTTTTTACTGTGCATATATGTACAGATATTCGAACATTAAATAATTGTTTACATATCACCATGGCAAATTTATTTGCACTTACCATGTTGTAAGTATCTTCCACAGTGATTAAAAATTCTATTAAGCCATTTAAATGTAATTTATTCCATATATGCACATAGCATTATTTGATCAACCACATCCTTACAGATAGATGTTATAATAAATATAAGGAAAGAATTTCACAATAATCACAAATACTTTTCAAAGTGAAATTTAAGCATAATTCCTTCACAATTCTTTACCTGATTATTACAATTACCAATAATGAGTGCATCAGCCAGAGACAGCTGTCCTACAATCATGCCCTGCTCCAGCAATGGGGCTCCTGTCTCAGCAAGGCGATTGGATGTGATAACAATGGTGTTATCATCATTCAACACCATTACAGGATCCGCCTAAAGAAATAAGCAGGAAGTTAATGGCAGGACAAAAATATAAATACAATGTCATTTATTTTTCATGATATCATACATATACAACAAAATATGTACCACATCACCATTTATTTATCTATGATTTTGACAACTTTTCTTCATTTCTTTTTTTTTTTTCATGAACCCACTGAGCTACATCCTTGGCCCTGACAGCTTTTCTTCTCAAGAACTGACCTCAATGAAAGCTGCTACTTCTTGAAGCACCAAGTTCCATTCCACTTGATCTTCAGTATTAAAGCGGTGAGTATAATCCTCAATTTCATCTGACAATTCCTGATATTAAAATATCACAAAGAAAAAGGTTTTTTAAAAGAAAAACACAAAAATATACAACTATGTTTTAACATTCTTAACATAAACCTATATAGTTAGAAAGTTTGGTTATTATCAATACCCATTCCCAATTATGACAGAAAACAAATAATGAAGACCACATAAAAAAGGAAAACCACATTTTTTTTTTGCTTTAAGATAAAAAATTTCAGAATGATATGCATCAAATAAGATCTTTATAGAAATCCACATTCTAATCAGTGCTACAATAGCAATGAATTTATTAATAGAAAAGTCTGAATGGAGAAACTCAAAGTTTTTTAAATTAAAAAAATACTTCTTGATATTTTTTGAATTTATATCATACTGTCTATTGGAAATAGTCCTATTAGTAACCAGGAGTAGAGAAGGACAGAGGAGGTGCGTATAGAGCTTTTTTCAGAGATCTCATTCCTGAGACCAAAATATTAAGAAGTATGCCACTGAAACCATTGGGTACAGAGTGCAAAGAGAGTGTAGTGGGGCAACAATCACAGATATTATGTGGACTCTGAACATAGTTAACTTGTAAGTACATGATGGGATGAAGGACAGAGTGATGCAGGAACTCTACTCTAAAGTTGTGATGATTAATCTTGACTGCCTAGGAGATTAGTAAAGAACACCTCTGGGTGTGTCTGTGATGGTATTTCAAGATCATGGGGGTTCTGATTTAATTAACAGTTTAATCCACTGATAGATTCAAAATTTCAATAGAATATAGGGAGGTGGTAGAACTGTGGAAGGTGGGTTCTTGTTGGAGGACGAAGGTCATGGGGGTGCTTGTCTTTGAAGAGCATTTATTGTCCTGGCTCCTTCCTGTTTTCACTCCACTTCCTGGCTGCCATTAGTAGAAAACCTCTGCAATGCTATGCCCTCCCCACCATGACGGATTGGAACGTTTGAAACTGTGAGCTAAAGAAAATCAATCTTTTCTCCCTAAAGTTGTTCTGTCAGGTTTTATGGTTCAAGAAACACAAAAGTAACTAACACAAAATTAATGTAAAAACTAAAATTCATTCATAATACGTTAGTAAAACATTATGTGACTTTTCCTATCCTAACTTTTTAATTGTTTTCTCCTAAACCAAATATTCTAACTTCTATTTGCATTTCCCAATCGTCTATTGACAATGTAAAACGTGCTGAAGGGTCAAAAGCAAAGGATTCAGATCATCATCTGGAAGCAGTATGAAATACAATAAAGTCTGGAAATGTTTTATCATTACCTTTGTCAGAGGTTATTATATTTGGAATGTTGTAATTATTTAGATATCAAAATCATTTAGTGCTGTGGCATATATAGCTCAGTGGTAACAAGGATGAGGCCTTAGGTTTGATCCCCATAACTGCACACACACACACAATAAAAATTGACCTTGAATTTATTTATTTATTTGTTTGTTTATTTATTTAATTCAGACATGCATACAATGTTTGGGTCATTTCTTGAATTTATTTTTTAAGAAAAATTATCCATATATAACTAAGAGATTGGGATTTTAATTATTTTAAAGAACATTTATAATCCCAGCACTTGGGAGGCAGAGGAAGGACGACTAAAGTTTGACTGCAAGCCTAGGTTGCATAGTAAGACCGACTCAAAAAAAAAAAAAACAACAAAAAGAAAGTATACACTTACTCTTACCTTTACCAAATCCTTCACAACATCCATTTTGTTGAGAAGAAGACAAACTACTATAAATCTTGCATAGTATCGCAGCTTCTTAACTACCAACTCAGGTCTATGGTGGATAAATGGAAAATTACTCATTAGATTAAAACAGAATATATGCATTTTTTTAATGTTTCCAATTATTTGATGATTTAAAACTCTGCAGTTTTTTCGGATAGTCCTAGGATTTCTACCTATAATGATATAGCCTTCTAAACACACAATTCATTCAGTGATTCATTAAGCCATCATTCATTCAACAAATATCTGCTAAGAACTTTAGCGCATCAGGTACAATGTCAAGTGAAAAAAGAATAATGATCGAAACACACAGAAACAGACAAAACCCCTTCTTCAAGGCAAGGCACAGTGGTTCACAACTGAAATCTCAGCTACTAAGTAGATGGAGATCATTAGCGAGATTCCTTTTTAATCAATAAGCTGGGTGTGCTGGCATGTATCTGTCTTCCCAGTGACAGGGAGGCTGTAAGTAGGAGGACCACAGCCTGAAGTTGGCCTCAGGCAAAAATGGGAGACCCTACTTGAAAAATAAATATAGCAAAAAGGGTTGGGGGATTGATACAAATGGTAGGGCACCTGCCAAGCAAACATGAAGATAACTCCAGTATCCTCCCAGCCAAAAGAAACAAAAGCAAAAATAAAAATAAATCACTTCTTCACATACTTTGCAGATAGAAGAGTACCTAATATATGGAAGAGTCAGATAAACATGTAAAATACAATGTAATAAGTATAATGATAAGAGAAATGAAGATTGCTGTTTGAGCTCACAGGACTGGATGTTGGGTGAGAAAATGCTTCCTGGAGAAATATGTACTTATACCATTTACATGTAAGGTCCTCATTACTTTGGCTGGATTTATGTCAACCACATGCTGTTTGCTTCCTATTTGCCCTCCTGGATTAATGTACCTCTATTGCTCTTTCCTACTCTCTTTCTGATTAAGGAAGTATTTTTTTTTTTTTTTACTTTGTTCTAATTTATTTTTTTTTCATTTTTTCTTTTATTATTCATATGTATATGGAAGAGTCAGATAAACATGTAAAATACAATGTAATAAGTATAATGATAAGAGAAATGAAGATTGCTGTTTGAGCTCACAGGACTGGATGTTGGGTGAGAAAATGCTTCCTGGAGAAATATGTACTTATACCATTTACATGTAAGTCCTCATTACTTTTGGGCTGGATTTATCTGTCTCAACCCACATGCTGTTTGCATTCCTTATTTGCCCTCCTGGATTAATGTACCTCTATTGCTCTTTCCTACTCTCTTTCTGATTAAGGAAGTATTTTTTTTTTTTTTACTTTGTCACTAATGTTATTTTTTTTTTCATTTTTCTTTTATTATTCATATGTGCATACAAGGCTTGGTTCATTTCTCCCCCTGCCCCACCCCCTCCCTTACCACCCACTCGCCCCCTCCCTCTCCCCCCCTCAATACCCAGCAGAAACTATTTGCCCTTATTCTAATTTTGTTGTAGAGAGAGTATAAGCAATAATAGGAAGGAACAAGGGTTTTTGCTGGTTGAGATAAGGATAGCTATACAGGGCATTGACTCACATTGATTTCCTGTGCGTGGGTGTTACCTTCTAGGTTAATTCTTTTTGATCTAACCTTTTCTCTAGTTCCTGGTCCCCTTTTCCTATTGGCCTCAGTTGCTTTAAGGTATCTGCTTTAGTTTCTCTGCGTTAAGGGCAACAAATGCTAGCTAATTTTTTAGGTGTCTTACCTATCCTCACCCTCCCTTGTGTGCTCTCGCTTTTATCATGTGCTCATAGTCCAATCCCCTTGTTGTGTTTGCCCTTGATCTAATGTCCACATATGAGGGAGAACATACGATTTTTGGTCTTTTGGCCAGGCTAACCTCACTCAGAATGATGTTCTCCAATTCCATCCATTTACCAGCGAATGATAACATTTCGTTCTTCTTCATGGCTGCATAAAATTCCATTGTGTATAGATACCACATTTTCTTAATCCATTCGTCAGTGTGGGGCATCTTGGCTGTTTCCATAACTTGGCTATTGTGAATAGTGCCGCAATAAACATGGTGTGCAGGTGCCTCTGGAGTAACAGTCTTTTGGGTATATCCCCAAGAGTGGTATTGCTGGATCAAATGGTAGATCGATGTCAGCTTTTTAAGTAGCCTCCAAATTTTTTTCCAGAGTGGTTGTACTAGTTACATTCCCACCAACAGTGTAAGAGGGTTCCTTTTTCCCCGCATCCTCGCCAACACCTGTTGGTGGTGTTGCTGATGATGGCTATTCTAACAGGGGTGAGGTGGAATCTTAGTGTGGTTTTAATTTGCATTTCCTTTATTGCTAGAGATGGTGAGCATTTTTTCATGTTTTTTGGCCATTTGAATTTCTTCTTTTGAGAAAGTTCTGTTTAGTTCACTTGCCCATTTCTTTATTGGTTCATTAGTTTTGGGAGAATTTAGTTTTTAAGTTCCCTGTATATTCTGGTTATCAGTCCTTTGTCTGATGTATAGTTGGCAAATATTTTCTCCCACTCTGTGGGTGTTCTCTTCAGTTTAGAGACCATTTCTTTTGATGAACAGAAGCTTTTTAGTTTTATGAGGTCCCATTTATCTATGCTATCTCTTAGTTGCTGTGCTGCTGGGGTTTCATTGAGAAAGTTCTTACCTATACCTACTAACTCCAGAGTATTTCCTACTCTTTCCTGTATCAACTTAGAGTTTTGGGTCTGATATTAAGATCCTTGATCCATTTTGAGTTAATCTTGGTATAGGTGATATACATGGATCTAGTTTCAGTTTTTTGCAGACTGCTAACCAGTTTTCCCAGCAGTTTTTGTTGAAGAGGCTGCTATTTCTCCATCGTATATTTTTAGCTCCTTTGTCAAAGATAAAGTTGCTTATAGTTGTGTGGCTTCATATCTGGATCCTCTATTCTGTTCCACTGGTCTTCATGTCTGTTTTGTGCCAGTACCATGCTGTTTTATTGTTTATTGCTTTGTAATATAGTTTGAAGTCAGGTATTGTGATACCTCCTGCATTGTTCTTTGACTGAGTATTGCCTTGGCTATTCGTGGCCTCTTGTGTTTCCCATATAAATTTCACAGTAGATTTTTCAATCTCTTTAATGAATGTCATTGGAATTTTGATGGGAATTGCATTAAACATGTAGATTACTTTTGGGAGTATTGACATTTTTACTATGTTGATTCTACCAATCCATGAGCATGAGAGATCTCTCTACTTTCTATAGTCTTCCTCAATCTCTTTCTTCAGAAGGAAGTATTTTTAAGTGTTCCGTTTTATACCCTCTACTGACTTCTTATTAAAACCTCTTCTTTTTTACTGTATTTTTTAGTGGTTGCTAAGAATAGCATTGAGTATCGTTAAGTTACCAAGACTGTACCTGTTCACACCTAACACTATTTGTACTTATCCCTTATCAATTCAAACCCAACATTTCTAACTTGCATTTCCTGTTTTCCACATTCTCACATCAAAATACAATAATCTTAGGGCTGGAGGTAAGACTCAAGTGGTAGAGCACCTGCCTATCAAGTGTGAGGCCCTGATTTCAAACATTAGTACCACCAAAAAACTAAATAAATTTCAAACCCCAAATACAGTAATTTTGTGTGTGTGTGGGGGGGTGGTGGTGCTGGGGTTTGAATTCGGAGTCTACAACTTGAGCCACTCCACCAGTGCCTTCTTGCGATGGGTTTTTTTGAGACAGGGTCTCTTGAACTATTTGCCCAGGCTGGCTTCGAACCGAGATCCTCCTGATTTCTGCCTCCTGAGTAGCTAGGATTACAGGTGTGAGCCACTGGTACCCAGTATAGTAATCTTATAACAGTACAATTTTTGTGTATGTTTGACATTTTCCATAATAAAATTTGTAAAAATCTTTTTTGAGCTATTTAGAAATATGACTACTAGTAGATAAATTTAGTGATTTTTTTAAACCAGTTTTTTTTTCTTGTATTGAATAGAATTATACCATGATTAGAGAACATATGCTTGAAATTTTACTAATCTTGTTTTGTGGCAAGAATAAATCAATTTCACAAACATTTCATACAAACTTAGAAATATACATTTGTTTACTGTTGTAAATAGTTTCATGAAAAACAGAACAAGTTTTTGTTTTCCAAATCATATAATTTGGAAAATTTTTTTGGTGGTACTGTTTTTTATTTGTTGTTAGTATTTTTTTCCCCTTTGATAGTGGACTTTGAACTCAGGGCTTCACTCTTACAAGGGAGGTGATTTATGGCTTGAGCCTTATTATCTCCAGGCCTTTTTGCTTTAGTTATTTTGGAGATAGGGTCTTACATTTTTCCCAGGATGGCCTGGACTTTAATATTCCTATTTTAAGTTTCCTGCTATCGCTGAGGGGACAGGACACCACTACGCCCAGCTTTTTTTTCCAGTAACATGGGATCTCACAAACTTTTTGTTCAGTTTTGCCTGGAATTATGATCCTCCTGATCTCAGCCTCCTGCATAGCTTGAGATGACAGGCAGACGCCACTGTGCACAGCAATTGGCTGCAATGTGGTCTTGCCAACTTTTTGTGTAGAATGGCCTCAACCATAATCCTCCCAATTTTAGACTCCCAAGTAGCTAAGATTATAGGACTGAGCTTCCAACTGTACTGGCTTTTCTTCTTTTTTTTTTTTTCCCCAACTCAGACCTTGTGCTTGCTAGGCAGGTGCTAGTTGAGCCACACCTCCAGCCCTTGGTATTTTAGTGACTTCTCAGGTAGGGTCTTGCACTTTCACATGGATCTGGCCTCAGATTGTGATCGCTGGCCTTGCATACCTGAGGCTACCACACCCCGCCAATATTGTTTCTTTGAGATAGGATCTAACTTGGTTTTTTTGCTATGGCTGGTCTTAAACCATGATCTTCCCATCTCTGCCTCCTACCACTCTTGGCCTTGGTCTCCATGATATATAAACAAATATGCATATCAAAAATTTCCACATACGCAGACAACCTATCATTTCCCCCATTTTTGCTTTATTATACCACTTTTTTGCTTTATAATGCTACATTACTGGGCATATACAAGTTTAAAATTTTAAATTTTTCTGAGTTCTTTTTATCATTATAGACTAGACTTCTTATCCTTAATAATACTTTTCAGCTTAAATAAATATACACATAACTATTCTGGCATTTCTTCCTCTTAGTAAATAAATGTCTCACTTATCTTTTCCTATGCCCCTTGCATTTTTGGAGGATCTCTTATCAATATTACTTAGGTATATTGATAATCTCTGTCCTTTTAACTGGGAAGTTCAGAGCACTTACATTTAATGTGATTACAACTGTATTTGGACTTGTATTTGTTTTATCATTTTGTGCTATTTATACCTGTTGGGAGTATTTTTTACTTTCCTATGTTCTATTGCAATGATCGTAATGGTGTTAGGCATTTTCCCACTTCTTGTTCTGAAGTTACGAATGTCTTTATATTCTTTTGAAGTATTTTTCTTAGCCAGGCATGGTGGCATACACCTACAGTTCCTGTAGTTGGGAGACTAAGGTAGAAGCATCATGGGTTCAATGCCAATCTGGACCACTTAGCAAGATCATGTGTCAAAAAACTCTAAAAAGATTTCGCTTACAATTTTAATAAGTAAACTTTATTAACTATATGCTTCTGTACAATAGATGGATCTTATTAGAATGGTTTAGTTTCTTATATTCTTTCTTTTTAAATGCTGTCATATGGCATGGCATTTGGCCCTTTCTTATATTACTAAATGCAACTATTCATTTTTATAATGATTACTATCTTACAAAGTCTATGTTTTAGGGAAAAAGGAGATTTTTTCCCCTTACCAATCTTTACTACTGTTTACCACAGTTTCCTTCTAGTTTCCATTTTCCTCCTACTTCTTCTTTTTGTCACCACAACCAAGTACCTCCCTGCAAGGTCATCACAACACTGGCCGCAGGGTTAATGAACTAGGGACTTCCCTACTTTCTTGACAGCCAAGCTGTCCATTTAAAGGGATGAGTGATCTACTTTATGTAGCATTTCTAGGGGCTTTGAAACAGAAAGTATTTTAGGTTATCTAGCCTATCACATGATCAGAAGTGGAATTCAAAAAGAAGGAAATTTAGTAGAATAAGGTTCATATTTGAAATAGGAATGATTTGTCCTTTAATGTTTTTATGAAGAAATACCAGGTTCTATGAACCTGTAAGATGGATTATACAATCAGCACATTTTCTATAAAGGACCAGACAGTAAACATTTAAAGATGTGCAGGTCACATACATTGTCTGTAACATGTCTTTTCCTTTTTTACCACCCTTTGCAACTGCAGCAACAATTTGAAGCTTCCAGGCAGTACAATATCAGAACACAGTAGGCTGACACCTATATTAAATGAGCATACAGAAGTGGGCACATGATTCTGTTCTGGAAGCCACTGTGTTCAATGGCAGCAAAGTACAGCTGAGGTTCCTCAGTGCTATCTACTCATACCTGAGAGGCCATCCTAGTCATGCCCAGTAACTTGCATTATAGCCCACAGCCTACTGGCTGACTCCGTATTAGTGGAAGAAAAGGTGTGACCCTCAATGGAAAGGGCCACATCAAGTCCAACTCCTCAACACCAGCACTTTGAAGTGTCAAAGCTTTCAGTTTTAGAATCATATTCCCCACCTGATTGTCATCTCCAATGTTAATATCGTAATGCTCTTGACAAACTTCTGGACTCCAGAGTTCTAGCCTTGTCCCACCTGGCCTGCCCACTCACTCCTGGAAAGACCCAGACTCATTAACTATGCATTTTCTTGGGAAACTTGCTCCAGGCAGCTCACTCAACATCTTCCAACAACCTCCTTTGTAATCAGACCTCTCTTCACCTTTTCCATATCTACCTTTGCACAGGCTCAGCCTTGGCCATTACAACAGAGTTGGGCTTTGAGTGGCTGTGTAGTAACATCCCTTCTAAAAGCAGAATAAACAATGGAGCAACACATTCTGACAGCTGTCTCTGCTCAATGACAGGCAGTCACCCTGGTGACTGCTAAAACATACCACTTCTCCTGGATTCTTTAGACACTGAAGAAGTGCTTCTTTCCTTTTGAGGAGAGATGCTTTTTGCCTGTTAAATGAACTGTGAAATTGTAGATCACTTTCATAATTGGTTTTCTTCAGTGGCTGCACATTTTAGCAGCTGTTGCTACCTTGACTGGTCCCCTTTCCCTGTGTTAACTAAGAAACAATCAACCTACCAAGTAAATGAAGTCCTTCCTCAACCCACAGAATAAGGCCAAGGTTTTGCACAATGGATTGGCCTCCACACCTGGGAACTGAGGATTGGATCCAGGGCCTCATTCATGCTAGGCAAATCTCTACCACATGAGCTATACCCACCCTCAGCCCTTCTTTTTTGTTTTGTTGTTTGTTTTTGAGACAGGGTCTTCAGTTCTTTTTGCCTGGGCTGGCCTCAAACTTGAGATACTCCTGTCTCTGCCTCTGGAGTAGCTGGGATTAAAGTAGTGTACCACCACACTCCTGGATTAGTCTTTGATTCTAATTTACCAGCCCAAAGCAAGCTATTTTGTCATACTGGTTCCACATAATCCTACCTCAGTTTATCTGCACAGCCCTAGGAAGCAGCAAAGGAAAACAATTCAGATGAGATGCTTGCTGTTAAAGTAGAAAATTATTTCAATAAATCAAACTCTTGGGTTTTAGGCCAAAAAGCCCAAGGCCATTTTCCCTTTTGGTACATTAGAAAATGCAGAAAAGTGAATTATACAAGGTAATTTGCTTGCTTAAAATAATTCTCTATTTATATGTATTTTAAATGCTGACAGAATGTCACCACAACCTTTTGTATTTTTTAGAGGTATAATTTATCTTAATAAGAACTCAGATAAGCTATATAACATGAATGTAAAAACAAATTAGGGTTGGAGGAAATTATTTATAATGAAAATATCTAAGGAAACCAGAAAAATCCTAAAGAAAAAGTAAATGATGAAACTTTGCTAGAAGATGAAGTAGGGGATGACAAAAAGATGAAGGGAAAATGTAGACTCCAGCATCTACACACAGTACTGCATCAAGCAAACCCTCCTAGACAAGTATGCACAAGATGTGTAATGAAACAGTGGGGATTTATCAAGGGGTAATAATTTCCCAGTCCCATCCTCATCTGAACATTGCAATTCACCCATATCCCAAATATTTCTGGAACCTGATTAGAAGACAACCTTCTTAAAGGAAGCTAGCACATCATCTTTTTTCTCTCATCCAAGCACCTGTCAAAGACCCACATGTATAATACAGATTTATAATAATACTGTACTCAACTAATTTCTATTGGGAATCTATAAATTTCAAATTATTTTTATACACACACATGCACATTGGAGCTACACAACTACAAAAACAGTAGTGGGTTTAAAAAATTTTCTAACAGCATTACAGACTTCTCTGGTCCTACATGACAGTTGTCAATAGGCTATTGAAGATTCATAAATTAAGATTACAGGCTAAAAAGAACAGATTTTAGATAAGCCTCATTTTGGAGTTATTTTTTATGAAATTTGTGTAACTCCAACCTCTTATGAAGAAATAATCCCAATCCTCCTTTGTGCTGAGACTCCATCCTAGCATTGTGACATGTGTATTGATACCTGTAATATTTCTGCTTTTAGGTAACATATCTAGTATGATTTAAAAGGCTGCTATAAAACAGGCACTTAATAACGCCCATTAACAAGTACAAGTTATAAATGATTGTGTACTTTTCTGCAGAATTTCCAGACTACAAATTGAATGTTTTATCCTCATGTTTTGAAAGCACTGTAGACACTTACCTGTCTTCTTTGTTGACTTGAGAGTAATATGATCTCTGTCTGATTGCAGAGTAGAAGGAGAAAGCCTCGTTCAGATAGCTGGTCTCAGATGTGCGTAAGCTATGAGAAAAAAAATAGTAAGTATGACCAAAGTGTTTCGAAAGTATTCACAAGAGACACTGTCCCATATTGTGGCATTCCTCTACACAGGAGGACGGGAATGGCTGACCTAAATTTAAATCAGCAAGGTAGTATCACCCTTAATTTGAATAATAATAGTAATAGTAACAATAATAACAATAATAATACATCCCTGCTGTTCCCAAGACTTTCTTTGCTAGGCAAGTGCTCTATCACCTAAGCCACTCTGCCCCAGCCTTTTTTGTATGTTGTGTTATGTTGGGTATTTCTGAGAGAGGGTCTCACAACTATTTGTGTGGGCTGGCCTCAAACCATGATCATTCTAAGAGTCTAGGATTACAGGCATGAGCTATCAGCACCCAGCTCTAAGACTTTTTTGTGATGCCAACAAAAGCACACAACATTCTCATTCTACAAGGGATTCTCCCGGCAGCAGCTGACCCAACTATATTTGCCCCCAGGACCAGACGTGTGACCTCCCACAAATCCACAGTCACTTGAACTTTGGCCCATTTCTTTAGCTTTTCCTCACAAAACTCATAAAAGGACTAACCTGTATATCTTCAGGGGATGATAATTTGTGTTCTTTAACATTTATAGTTAAAGTTCCTTAAAAGGAACTTTTAAGAACATGTTCTCCCCAAGAGAGTGATTTTAACCGTAGGCATTTGGGATAGCCTGCCAACACGTAGGAAGATGAGAGACTTTTCTTGCCTTATACTTTGTAAGTGGTCCAAGCTTTTTCTATTATATACCTGATTTTACTTTGTGATAAGATTTAGATTACTAGAATTAGCTCTTCTCTTTTCTTGAATCAAGGGTGGAACTATATAGATGTTATTACTCTAAGGATGTAATTAAAAGTATCTTCATTTATTTCATGTAACCTTTCAAACATATCCTACAAGTGTGAGTTTTTTATCGTATCCTTCTGAAAACCAACTATTCAAACATACAAGTTTTATGTCTCTGCATACTATCAAGACTTAAGTAAAGCCATAAGAACAATAAATTTATTTAGTATTAATCATGGATCAAAACCCAAGACCAAACTCCTTTATGTCTGGTCAACTGTTTAAAGAGCTCTTGGAGAAAGTAATACTGCTTGGATTAATGGAAGGACGTTTCATGATGTGCCTTGATCAATCTGGTCTAAACCAGATTACATTTATAACTGTCTTCTCTCCTAGCAAGTAAGTATGGTATGTAGACTCCTGCATATTTGTGTTTTCTTTTCCGTTCTTATTTATTTTCTTGGGAGTACTGGAGGGCTGAACTCAGGGCCTTGTGCTTGTAGTACAGTGGGCTACCACTTGAGCCACCCCACCAGGCCTGCAATGCTGTGTTTTAATCAAGGTGACAAAAAACTCTTTCCATGTACAATTCACTTACTAATAGTGGTAGTATAGCTGCCCGATCTTGGAAGCAATTTCCCCAATTTGCCACCGCTTCAGGCCATACCGATTATCCAAGACTTGTCTGTTATATAGGAGACAACAAAATAGAAACAAGAAACTCTAAATTTCAAAATAACCAGATCTGTAAACTCAATAGGAAAAAATACCACACAACTAGCAAAGCTCATGAATTTTCATGAGATTTCAACATAATCATTCAGCAAGATTAAAATAACATTTATTAAATGCCTATTTAGAGTAAGTAGAGATATAAAAAGAAAGTTCTCTAAGCAACAACTCCCTCCCAAAATAGCTTTTGCCAATAGATAGATGTATTTTAGAATGAAACCAGGGATCATTCCATTCATGTTAGAGTTAATCTGAATCATTCAGATACAACATTGGCTTAAAAAATCAGGTAAAAACACTACATTTTAAAGTTGTAAATAAATGGGGAAAAATCTGTTTTCATTTGAATCATGAAGGTGTAACATATTATTTTAAAAGTACCAAGATAAAGAACACTGAGGTAGAGGTCAAAACTGCAACTAATCTAGAATGGACCTTCACTCTCCTTTAACTGTAAATTCCTTTACCGATGTTGTTGCTGGAACTTCCAGAGTTTGGTGTAAACATCGAAAGTTCTTCCAAAGTATGACTGCCACTGCTTCTGTCCATATTGTGGCAAATCTCTGTAATAAGAAAGAACATGTCAACTTTAAATCTCTTCTGCTTTTGGAAATTAAATCTTGTGACGTTGCAAATCGGATTTACAGTACTTGCATTTTGGTTTTCCTTTTTTAAAAAAAGTTATCATTTTTGGAGCAAACATAGTTCAGGGGTCCAGGACACATTCTTTCCTAGCCTCCCCATTAATTGATAGCTCATTCTCCATGTCTTTACAGATGCCTCTCTCATGATGACTTCAGTACTCTCTTCCCTCTCCCTGGATGATCTCATTTATACTAATTTATATAATGACACTTTAGAAATGGGTGCGCAGGTATAGTGTTACTCTTCTCAACTTTCTATCCTGTTCTTAAAAGAGAAATACACAACTCTGTCCTTGAACCTGATAACTATGGTCCATGTCTTTGAGAAACAAATACTTTCTACCACATGAAAAATGGGCATAGCTATGTTATCTCTCTTTGGCCAGTAAAACAGAATTAACGTGATCTGTACCATGTCTAAGGAGAAAAATTAGAAACATTTCATGGTTCAGTATTTTCACTTTTCTCCATGATCTAATACTTACTGCTCTTCAGCCTGAACCCAGAGAAGATACATTTAATGGAGTCTCAGGACTACAGATAACTTGTAGCTAACATGGGAACTACAAATAAATCTTTATCATAGTAAGGCACTAAAATTTGGGCATTATGGGCTGCATCATGGCTTAAGTGGTAGAGCACCTGTCTAGCAAGTACAAGTCCCTGAATTCAAACGCCAGTACCACTAAGAGGGGAAAAAAAAAGGAATAAATTCTGGACTTACTTGTTATAGCTGCCTTACTTAGTAAAAACAGAAACTGGCAGCTGAAGAAGGTTATTGCCATAACAAACACACAACATATGTGACACTGGCATTGGGAATGAGTAGCAAGTAACAATGACCGAAGCCAAAAACAATGACCTTTACAGTATAGAGATAAAACTATATCTGAGTTTAAAAATCAGCTTACCACTGATGGTGAAAATATTGTCATTAAATGAATTTTATGACTCTATTAAGGTCTTATATTTCTTGATTCACATGATACACCTTATTGCAAGCTCCTGTATTTTGTTTTTGTGAAAGGTATCACTGAAATCTATACTTTTAACTGCGTAGTATTGAGCAATATTCTTAAATATTCTTAAAAAGTAACACAATAAAGTAATACATGATGAACTAAGCATGTAACTTTATTTTATTCTCTCTCAAGAAATAAAGAAATAACTGGGCATGGTGGTGTATGCCTGTAATCTCAGCACTTGGGAGGCTGAAGCAAGAGGATTGTGAATTTGAGGCAAGCCTGGGCTACATAATGAGACATTATCGCAAAAAAAATGTTTTTAATAAATAAAAGAAGGGTCAATAAACATCCACTGAGAGATTTCAACAAATTTCTAGAACATCAGATGAAAAAATATTGTTATATGAAGAAATATCAATAATATTTGCTGACATCCAAACTTCTGGCAGGAAATGAAGCACCCAAATGGGTCATACGAAGAGGTTAATAAAGAAGCCACAATGGTGTGAAGGGAAGGGAGGCCAACAAAGAATGCTGAAGCTCACAGGCTAAGTACCACCCGTTGCCTTGCTGCAGCCAGGCAGGAGAGACAAAACCTGGGCACTGGGCCGGCTTAGTCTCTCCTGCCATCCAAACTCCTCCTGGTACAAAAAAACCCTTTTGGTGTAGCCATGGTTTGCCTTCCAGAATGTCAGGGAGGCAAAAGTGTATAAAAGGTAAGTCTGGAGGGACAAAATGAAAATGCCCAGCCCAATGAGTCACATAACAGAGAAGAGAAAGCTAGAACTTGGAAAATGTGAAAAGAGCCAGCCTGTAAGTTACAGAAGAAAAGGAATCAAAGTACTGTCTCAAACAAGGAGCTTGATTAAAGGTTTACCCAAGAATCATTTGCTCCCCAACCCCACCTCAAATGCCAAATATCTGGGCAGTTCTATTTACCTTCTCAGAGAGTGAAGGAAGAAGGAAGGGAAGCAGGGAGGAGGGGGAGAGGGAGGGAGGAAGGGGGAAAAGGACAGAGAGAGAGAGAGAGAGAGACAGACAGACAGACAGAACACCAGAAGGTAGGAAGGAAGGGGAAAGAAATTTTTCATTAAAGAAATTGGACAGGTTTAGGGGCATGGCTCAAGTGGTAGAGTGCTTGCACAGCAATAGTAAGGCCCTGAAATCAAAACCCCATTGCAGGTGGCAGGGGGCAGAGCAGAGAAGAAGAAAGAAAAGAAACTGGATAAACTCCCCATTCTGGCATTGACTGGGGTGGAGGCGGACCCAGAATAAGGCCAGCCTGTTCAGCTGGCTAAGTAAACAGAGACTTCGGTCAGACTTTCTATTATGCTATTTTTTTTTCTATTATGCTATTTTTAAAAATAAGAATTTGTTAGAAATTGTAGGAAAGTTTAGAACATGAGAAAAATATGGTCAATTAAAAAAAACATGTAACAATTTAAATTAGAATCGTCAGAATTTATACATACATAAAAAATAAGCAAACTTAATAAGAGAAGGAACTCAACAATAAAGTTGAAAATTTTAAAAATTATGATTGATGGAATAATACTTCATTGGATATGTTATGTCAATATATTATATAAATATAGTTTGCTGAAATCTCTCGGCTGTGATTAGTACCCTCTTTTTCTTTCTTTTCTTGTTTTCAGAAGTTAACCTGGACCATGATCGTCTTATTTACACCTTCCACATAGCTGGGATGACAGTGCATGTCACCACGCCCAGCTTATTGGTTGGGATAGGCTATTACCAACTATTTGCTCCGACTGGCCTCAAGCCACAATCCTCCTAATCTCTGCCTCCTGAGCAGCTGAGATAATAGGAATGAGATACCACGCCAGGTCCAATGTCACAATTTCAAGGAACAAAGTGTTAGTTAGAGTGATTGCATCTGAATTTGGACTCCTTTTGAGAAATATATTGGAAGAACAGAGAAAGATTGCTCAGCTTTTGTCTCTGCAATAGACAATACACAATCATATGGCAAAATGCTATTTATTGTTTTCAAATTTTAGAATCCATGTACAGATAAAAACTATAAAATGGTTCATGATGTTTACACAATGGTAAGTACATTTTGTTCTAAGAAATAAAAACAAAGTTACAATTAACAAAAAACTGGGGATGAGGAGAAAAGATGGAGGGAATGGTGGGAGTGAGAATTTCCTCTTCATACTAAATGAGTCAAGGGGATACCATCAATATGGTACATGGGTGAAGGGACTGAGTTTTGAGGTCAGGGGCCACTTACTGTGCATGCAGCCTGGGCAAGCAAACCCTATGCCTTAGTTTCCTCATTTGTGAAATGGGAATACAGTTGACTGATCCTTACCTAAAATGCTTGAGACCGGAAGTGTTTCAGATTTTGGATTTTGGAATACTCACAAACACAATGAGACATACTGGAGAGAGGACCCGTGTCTAAATATGAAATTTATTTCTGCTTCATATATAGCTTATGCACCTAACCGGACAGTAATTTCTATGATTTTTTTGATACAGAGTCTCATTATATTACTCAGGGCTTAAGTGATCTTCCCACCTCAGCCTTCTGAGTAGCTGGGAATACAGGTGTGCAGCACTGCACTTGCCTATTTCACACAATATTTTCATGAAACAAAGTCTCATAATGGGGAATTTTCCACCGCTGGTTTGTCGGCACTCAAAAAGTTTAAGATGTTGGGAAAATACAATATTTTGAATTTCTGGACTATCCAACATTTAATAATAAATAATAAGGCCTAAGACATAGGTTTGGTGAGAAGAGTAAACAAGTTAACACATGTAAAGAGCTAAGAACAATAAGCAGCACTTAATAAAAACTCAAAATGTTAGATGATATTATCATTTAGGACACCGTAAGAAAAGTGTGCTAAGTAATGGAGGTGAATCATAAGATGAACAATGGGAAAGCTGAGAACCATAACATATATTCAGAAGGTTTTGTAGAAATTAGATAATTGTGGGAAGTACTTGGAACAGGCCTGGCAAACGACAAGCATTCGTCATTGTAGTTGCTGTTAATATTACTATTTCTGCTACTATCACTGCTGTTACTTCTATGCAGAGCAAGAGGCAGGAGAAAGAGTAACGTTCAGGCAAATGAACTTTGATCAAATTCACCCCTCTATTACTCTCTTTTACACCTCCTCTCCTACCCTTTATACTTACACTTTGTAGTGGGTTTCATTATGTGATTTTCATAATATATATAATGTACTTCTGTCATATTCACCCATCCACGACCCTCTTCTTTCCCCTTCCCCACTCCTGGTGGTTCCCTCACTAAACAGCACCCTATTTACTTTCATGTCATATTATTACTATTTTGTCTGGTCTAGATTCCACATATGAGAGAAAGTACATATTTGTCTTTCTGATCTTGGCTTACCTTTCTCAACATCATGATCTCCACTTCTATCTATTTCTCTGCAAACAGCATAATTTCATTCTTCTTTACGGCTGAATGCTACTATACTGTGACCAGTTATTTCTTGGGAACCTAGGGTGATTCTATAGCTTGGTAAGGTGAATAAAAAACATAGGTGTGCAGGTATCTCTACTGTATGTCGACTTACATTCCTTCAGATATCCACCCAAGGTATATTTAGCAGGATATATATCTATATCTAGATAGACAGACAGACAGACAGACAGAAAGATATAGCAGGATCATATGGTTGGACTATTTTTAGTTTTCTGATGAACCTCCACATTGATTTTTGTAATGGCTGAGCTAATTTACATTCCCATCAACAGTGTTATAAGGGTCCCGCTCAGGAAATCCTCCCCAGCATTTGCCGTTACTTGTTCTCTTGATGATAGCTATTTTGACTGAGGTGAGATGGAATCTCAGTGATGTTGAGCGTTTCTTTTATGTATTTACTTGCCGTTTATACATCTTCTTGAGAACTATCTGTTCAGTTCATTTGCCCATTTATTAATTGG